GCCCTGGCCTGGGGCAGGGGATTGGGGTGCAGGACAGGTGAGAAGTTGGGCTCTGGGAGGGAGTTTGGGTGGGGGAGGGGGTCTGGGGTGCAGGCTCTGGGATGGAGTTTGGGTGCTGGGTGCAGGCTCCGGTCTGCGGCAGGGTGTGGGGGTGCAGGAGGGGGTGAGGGGTGCAGGCTCTGGGAGGGAGTTTGGGTGTAGGCTCTGGACTGGGGCAAGTGGTGGTGGTGTAGGAGGGGGTGAGGGGTGCAAGCTCTGGGAGGGAGTTTGGGGACAGAAGGGGGTATGTGGGAAGGGGGTACAAGTGCAGACTCTGGGACAGAGTTTGGGTGCTGGATGCAGGCTGGGACAGGGGCTGGGGGTGCAGGAGGGGTTGAGGGGTGCAGGCTCTGGAACTGAGTTTGGGGGCCAAAGGAGAGGTGCAGGCACTGGGAGGGTGTGTGTGCGTGTGCAGCGCTTACCTGGAGCTCCTAGGCAGGGTTGGCCGGGAGTCTCCATATGCTGCTATCCCCAGGCCCTGCCCCCACAGCTTCCCATTGGCTGCAGGGGTGCTTGGGGCAGGACACAGACACAGACACCCCCTCCCCCCGGGCTGCAGGGAGGGGTCAGTAGCCACGTGGAGTGAGCAGGCAGGAAGCTACTCAGCTCCACTGTGCTGCTGGTGGGAGTGGGGGGCCCGGGCTGTTTTAAATAGCCCGGGGGAGGTGCGGGGCGGGGGCACCTGAGGCCAAGGGAGAGACCCAGCCTCGGACAGTGCTGGAGCCAGTCCCGTGGTGCCTGGGCACCAGGAATATTCCTGCTGCCCAGGCACCACAGGCCTATAGAACTTGCCACCTGTGAATAGTATTAATGAGCAGTGTGACCCCAGCTTTCATTTAAGACCTCACATGACACTCTTTGGTGAACTAGAATGTACATACAAACTGTACCAGAAACAGGACATTTGGCGTTCACTGTATAAGCAAATGCGTATATACTATTTTGAGGTTGTCTGGGGTTTCTTTAGCAGGATAACAAGATTAATGCAACCTTTGGAAGGTATTAGGAAAGTCAAAGGGCTTTATGGAACAATACATGTGAAGTGGGTTTCCTAAAAACAGCTAACCTGGTGGCTG